CTGAGTTGTGTTTATCACACACACCAAAATCTCGCTCAAAGTTAATTAAGAAAAAGAAATCAAAAAAGGCATGGCAGATCCTAGTTAGACTGACAGACACTGTCTTGCACAATCAATAGGAAGATTTAGGAGTTATGTTAAGTCACAAGAAAGTTGTTAAGGCATTATTAATAACAAGATTAGCAAGTGTTTATGCTGCCAAAATACTTAGGGAGAAAAAAAAAACAAAAATACTCTCTTACCCAAAGCAATATGAACTCTGGGCATTTTCTAAGTTACACCATCACTGCTACCTGAGCTTAGGAAGTAGCTCCTCTGCTATATATATATAATCACATTTGTCTAAATCTAGTCAAAATAAGCAGGGCAAGCTGATTTAAAAAAATTGGAAGTTTGCCAGTTTTGACTTAAATTCACTCTGCACCTCAATTCTCCAGTCTAGCAAGGATGCCAGCTTCAAACCCCTTCACTGTTGTCTTCTGGAACAACTTTTGTAACCATGCAAAAATTTTCTCTGTGGATTTTCTATCCAAGAGTGAGTCAGATTGGAGGACACTAGCACAGGGCAATGTTGTGCCAAGTATACAAATGTAAAACAAAATGGTTCCTGCCGTGAAGAGTTCACTGTGTGAGGAAGCTTGTTCCACTCAGTCCTTATATGTCTACATCCACTGTAATGTCTGTGAGAGCCTTCTTAAAAACATTTTTTTAAAACAAAAAGTCCCCCCTGCAACATCAAGCAAAGAACTCTCTCATACTAAAATCAGCTGCCTCTTATCTATACACTATTTAACCTGTCTGTAAAAATGCATAATGCTCTAATTTCTGAACACACTCTTTTGTTTGTTACAGTTACCATTTATTTAGAGGCAAACCTCACATTAATAGCTATTTCAGGGATGCAGATAACTGCACTCTGAAAAGTGTTTAAAGGAAAAAAAGTATAAAATAAAACCACTAATAAATTCCTACCAGGCCAAACGTGTTCATAAAAGAAAAATGGTGTACGAGCTCTCTTTGTCACAAAAATGATACTTTAAGCAACAAATCACTCATGCCAATCAACTGTCAGAAGAGAATTTGGGGAATTATTAAAAGAAATGGATAAACAAGTGCTGATATTCATTATTTCAAAGGGAAACAAAGCAGCTAACAATAGCTAATAATAATTAATAGCTGAAATGTAAATGGGGGGAATGAGATGGATCTTAGATATGTTTGTGATTGTGACATCCAGCATAATGCTGCTCAAATTCTGACTTCTAATTGCTAATTTAAACTTAACCTTGGAATCACAGTATACATTGCAAGCCCTTGATTAAGTACTAGAACACAGCATAGATACAGCATAAATATGCCTGAAGAGGAATGTCTTTTTTTTGGAGCAGGATTTCATTTTTCCTTTGCCCAAGACCTTACCATTCAGCAATTATCCTGATCCTGGTGTTTGAATTCAGCCTTCTCCAATGGTACAGAAGTGGGGCTAACATCCCCCCTTCTCTTGCAAGCTAATAGCTAAACTGTCTTGGACAGGAAATCTATTGCTAGCTCTGTGCAGGAATG